CATGTCTCAGTATATTCAGAGTTATCCTTTATTCACCTGAAAAGAAAATTGGGGAAGAATATTGAAAAGATACATGAGTTTGTGCTTAAAGTTTTTCCTTGAGGTTTTCTTGTCGATAATTTGACAGTGTTGGTTGTGTGTTGCAGATCTGGATATACAAACGATGCTGGAGGAAGCATACAGTAGGTGGCTCAGGCCAAATGAGATCCATGCTCTTCTCTGTAACCATAGATACTTCACCATCAACGTCAAGCCAGTGAACTTACCCAAAAGTAATTAATTTTGCCATGGCCTTTTTTGCCTCCTCAGAAGTTATTTTTTTCTTCAAAATTTTGCTTTTTGGGTTCTTCTCTCAAGCTTTGGACTTGATCCTTCTTGTTAGGAACTTGTTAATGGCATATGTAACGTTAACTTAGATAAATCTCTAGTCAGACTCTCATTTGTTCATATTTGGCAGGTGGCACGATTGTGTTGTTCGACCGTAAGATGCTGAGGAACTTCAGAAAGGATGGTCACAACTGGAAAAAGAAAAAGGATGGAAAGACAATTAAGGAAGCTCATGAACACCTAAAAGTGAGTTTTCTTTAGTGTCTTTGAGTTCATACCTGCGTTTGTCTCTTCTATAGCACATATATAAGTTCTTTTCTGATCTCTATATATTATTGTTGCCATCTCTAGGTTGGTAACGAGGAAAGGATTCATGTTTACTATGCCCACGGTGATGATAACCCTACATTTGTTCGAAGGTGTTACTGGTTATTGGATAAGTATGTGGCAACAAATGATTGATTAAATGCCTTCTTTCCTCTGCTTTATTTCTTAAGGTTATGAGAATAAATCACCTCTTTCTATAATGGCAGGTCTCAGGAGCACATAGTTCTTGTCCACTATCGTGAGACGCATGAGGTTTTCTATCTGTTCCCAGCTTATTCTTATGTTTTTAACTATGTTAGAAGTGCTTATGGATTAGGATGATGTATTTTTGTTGTTGAATAGCTTACAGCCTTCTCTTGGCAGTTTTTAGTTACAAAAGAGAGTATTCGTTTGCAGCCCTCTGAGGAATTTTGGTAAAACAGGTTCAGGCAGCTCCAGCAACACCTGGGAACTCGTACTCAAGTTCGATCACTGAACACTTATCACCAAAACCTGTGGCTGAAGATATCAATTCTGGTGTTCGTAATGCTGGTAATACAGGTGAGAAGGAGTCTCTTGGTGATCTTGAGCTTTTGCGATTCAAACTTTTGATGTATATTGGCAACTCTTCCGGATTTTGTTCAGAATTTTTTTAGGAATTATAATAAAATTTTGAATATCTCTTAGAAAGCTAGATATTTATCACACTTTTCTTTTTAAGGGTTTGAAGTTCGAAGCAACAGTCTGGGTTCTAGAAACCATGATATTAGCCTTCATGAGATCAACACACTTGATTGGGATGAACTTCTAGTACCAGCAGATATTGGCAACCAGTCTTTACCAACAGAAGGTACTTATACATCCCCATCCTTCACAAGTAGAATATCTGCTTGTTGTTAAAAGGATGCAATGAAATGATGCTGAAAAACACCTGACTTTTTATTTTCATTGCTCTCTGCTTACAGACGATGTGCTATACTTCACAGAACAGCTCCAAAGTGCGCCTAGAGGCTCTGGAAATCATGTGAGTGCAATTGATTTTTTCAAGCCTGTAAGTTGCTTTTGCTATCTTTTTGTTCACCATTTTGCTGTCTTGTTCATTGTGCAGGGAAATCACCTCGCAGGCTACAATGGATCAGCAGATATACCATCATTTCTCGGTCTTGGAGATCCTGTTTATCAAAATAATAATTCATGTGGTGCAGGAGAATTTTCTAGTCAGCATACGCACTGTGTAGTAGATCCAAATCTACAGAGAAGGGATTCCAACGCAGCAGTTGCTGATGAACCGGGTGATGCTTTGCTTAATAACGGTTATGGAAGTCAGGATAGTTTTGGAAAGTGGGTAAACAACTTCATAAGTGACTCTCCTGGTTCAGTGGAGGATCCTTCCCAAGACGCTGTATATACACCTGGGCAGGAATCATCTGCTCCTCCTACTGTATATCATTCTCCGTCTAACATACCTGAGCAAGTATTCAACATTACTGATGTTTCACCTGCCTGGGCCTATTCGACAGAGAAAACAAAGGTTTCTTTCCTTTTCTTTGCTTTCCCAATATACGTTTTTTTTTCTATATCATGGCACCACTGGTTGGTTCTATCCTATAACCGAACAAAACCTTGCTTTCACAGAATTTTTGTTTCGGTCATGATGCCGAAGGGAAAAAGAGTAAAAAAACTGCACACCTTAGACCTTTGTTTAAAAAGAGGAGCTTAATAATTATCTTAAAGTCTCACTTTTTGTGTGTGTTTGTTGAGGTCTTACGCATGCGATTAGTATGTTTGCAGTATGAAATTGTGTATAGTGTGATTCACAATATGAATTATAGATGAAGCTTGGAGCATTACTTTGTGATATTGCGTCTCTGTTACATATTGTGTCTTAATTCTACGAGTCAGGATCTAAAGCATTTCTTGCTGTAAAGAGCTAAATTTTTTTGCATGTTTATTTTGCAGATTCTTGTAACTGGGTTCTTTCACGAAAGCTTCCAACATTTTGAAAGATCAAACCTTTTCTGCATTTGTGGAGACTTGCGTGTCCCCGCAGAATTTCTGCAGATGGGGGTTTATCGTTGCTTCCTTCCCCCTCAATCCCCTGGGGTGGTGAACCTTTATCTAAGTGCCGATGGGAACAAACCGATCAGTCAATTATTCAGCTTCGAACACCGTTCAGTTCCAGTTATCGAAAAAGTTGTCCCTCAAGACGACCAGCTACAAAAGTGGGAAGAATTTGAGTTCCAAGTCAGACTTGCTCATCTTCTGTTCACTTCGACGAACAAAATCAGCGTTTTCTCAAGCAAAATCTCACCTGATAACCTGCTAGAGGCTAAGAAACTCGCCAGCAGGACTTCACATCTCTTAAACAGTTGGGCGTATTTAATGAAGTCAATCCAGGCGAATGAGGTGCCGTTTGATCAAGCGAGGGACCATCTCTTTGAGCTTACTCTGAAAAACAGGGTGAAGGAGTGGCTTTTGGAGAAAGTGATTGAAAACCGCAACACAAAGGAGTATGACACAAAAGGCCTTGGAGTGATCCACCTCTGTGCCGTCCTTGGATATACTTGGTCGATCCTTCTCTTCTCCTGGGCAAGTATATCGTTGGATTTCCGTGATAAGCATGGTTGGACCGCTCTTCATTGGGCAGCATACTACGGAAGGTGAAATAACTTGCATCTCTTAAGTAATACGAGATCTGGTAGTCTTATTTTCGTTTTATTTACTTATTTTCCAAGTTTTGTTCTTTGAAAGGGAGAAAATGGTGGCTGCTCTTCTTTCTGCTGGGGCAAGGCCAAACTTGGTGACAGACCCGACTAAGGAATACCTCGGCGGGTGTACGGCAGCTGATCTGGCACAGCAGAAAGGCTATGACGGTTTAGCAGCTTTTCTCGCTGAGAAATGTCTTGTAGCACAGTTCAAGGACATGAAAATGGCTGGGAACATGACAGGCAACCTCGAGGGCATCAAGGCAGAGACGTCAATAAAATCAGGGTATGCAAATGAAGAAGAGCAGAGCCTGAAGGACACTCTGGCGGCGTACAGAACCGCTGCAGAGGCGGCGGCACGGATTCAGGGAGCATTCAGGGAGCACGAGCTGAAAGTCAGGTCAAGCGCGGTTAAGTTTGCTAGCAAAGAAGAAGAGGCCAAAACCATAGTAGCTGCGATGAAGATTCAACATGCGTTCCGCAATTTCGAGACGCGTAGGAAGATTGCAGCCGCTGCTCGGATTCAGTACAGGTTCCAAACATGGAAAATGAGGCGGGAGTTCCTGAACATGCGGAAGAAGGCAATTAGGATTCAGGTAAAAGATTTGTTTTGCTATCAGTTTAATCTGAACCCTTCAACCAATTAGAATACGCGATGTGATTTTGTTTTCTGGTGATGCAGGCTGCGTTTAGAGGGTTCCAAGTAAGAAGACAGTACCAGAAGATAACATGGTCGGTGGGAGTTCTTGAGAAGGCGATTCTGAGGTGGAGATTGAAGAGAAAAGGATTCAGAGGGCTTCAGGTTAGCCAGCCTGAGGAGAATGAAGGGGCTGAGACGGTGGATGATTTCTACAAGACAAGCCAGAAGCAAGCAGAGGAGCGGCTCGAGAGGTCAGTGGTTCGAGTACAGGCCATGTTCCGGTCCAAGAAGGCTCAGCAAGATTACAGAAGGATGAAACTGGCTCATGAAGAAGCTCAGGTGAAATCACTTCTGTTTCTTACTTTTTGCTTTTACTCAATACCAATATGTAGTCCAAAAAACACAATTTCACATTATATATAGTGATGGCTAAATTATGTTTTAAACGTAAAATGTGGTACAGGTGGAGTTTGATGGGATTAAGGAGCTTGATCAAATGGATATGGAGAGCTGAATAAATAAATAAAAAAGGGAAATGGTGTGGAACTGTAAATTTGTGTAAATGACAAGGGGCAATTTCAGCCTTTCGGAAGCTGTTTTGAAAAAAGCTTCGAAGGGTATTATGGTAAATCAACCCTGGTGCTGGGAAATTTCCAAACAGCCTCTTGTCGTTAGTCTTTTTTGTTTGTTTGGTGGAGGGGATTGTGGTTTGTAGTCTGATAATGCGTTATGTGACTGGAAAGCTAACGTTTTTTAGCTGTTCTTCTATAGTTTCTCCTTTTACTGTTTTCTATTTTGGATTTCTGACTTATAATAAATATATAAATTATGCGTATACCAATTATTTGTTTATTGTTCTGTTAAATGAAAAATAATGATCTTCAGATATAATTGAAAAAAGAAACATGAAACAAATATACGTGATATCAAGAGTATACATATCGAATGTTGCTATAGTGCTAAAGTACAAATAGCTTCTTCCACAAAACTTTTGTCACAGGCTGCTTTCGATTTCTTCTTGTTTAAACAGCGACTTTTACACTTTGTGCCGTTGTTGAAGCTGTACTTTCGACCTGAAATTGAAGATAAACAAGAGTTGGTTGCTTGTAATATGAGATTTGATTTTATATCGATCAAAGAATGTGCAAATCTAGATTCTTGTATATTTTACCTTGGCAGCTTTAAACAGTTCATCAACAACTTCAGAAAGCGTAGGATGTGCATGAACCGCAAGTTTTATGTCCTGCAACATCATCACAGAAACCCCAGAAAAGCTCATAATCCAAATTCCAAATATCAAAATCAGGAACAGCTTAGTTTAGTCGAAAACGACAATCCTCACCTGAAGGCGTGTTCCTAAAGCGATGGCGTTAGATGCTTCATGGATCAGATCAGCAGCATGCAATCCAAATATATGAACTCCAAGGATTTCACCATTGTCAGGTCTGTATATCATCTGTGCACACAGAAGAGCATGTTCAGATATCTTCTCGGTCACTCGAAGACTATAAACAAACAAAAAAACGATTCAGTTCTCTTAACCTTGGCGATTCCTTCTCCTTCATTTTCAGCAAGGGCCTTTGTGTTTGCCTTGAAACTTGTCTTGGCAATACTTACTTTAAATCCCTCTTTCTCAGCTTTTTCTCTCGCTTGAGGCTAAGAATTTACACATGAGAAAGGTTGCGGTTACATTTTAGAAAAGAAACACCAAATCCACTATTAGTGTCTAGAGTTACCTCTGTTAATCCCACCATGCTGATTTCCGGATGAGTAAAACAAGCAGCTGGGATGCTAAGATGATTAAGCACACGATCTCTACCTGTGACTTGCTCCACCACTAGCCAAACACAAGTAGATGCATAGAGTTTATCACAAAGCTGTGTACTAAAGTGGAAAAACAAAGACTGATCTATATATCATGGAATACAGAATACTGATAATCAACTTACCAGAAATTCCTTGGGCACTGGCAGCATGAGCGAGCATCATTTTACCGTTGGCATCGCCGATGCAGTACAAGTGTGGAACCTATCAACCAAGAGTGACTCGTTAATTCCTAGTGGTTAAAGACTTAAAGTCATAAGGTGTGCATATGAAAATAACACTAACCAGCTTTCCATTCCCATCGATTACACGCATCCGCTCATCAACTGGTATAAAACCTCTTTGCGTCGCTACATTGATCTGTGCGGAAAACAGAGCGTCAATGTTATTTCTCTTTCATAACCATATAAACTCAGAGAACCAAAAGTCGATGCTAAGAGGATGCGGTTTATTTTCATCTCTTACATTTTCCAGGCCAAGACCACTGGTGAATGGAGCTCTTCCTGTAGCAATAAGAGCAGCGTCCACCTTGAGAAAAGAAAAGAAAACGCATAAAAGTGTCAGTTGTGATAGATTTCAAAAACATTTCTGTTTCTTATTCTTTTTTGTGGGAGAACATATCAAACTCTAGAAAATGAGAAGCCCTAGCTAACCTACGCAAGTATGCATGTAATAACTTATATGTTTCGGCTCGTGGAAAGTCCACATGGAGTGTTGACAACCAAACAGTGAGAAAAGATTTCTAGGGATCCAAGCACATAACTTGTAGGACGTGAGATTAAGTCTCGGATATGGGTACTAAGCAGCAGCACCAGTCATTCTCTTATGCAGCATCATTAATCATTTCAAATTAATGATGTAAAAAAGTCAGAGGTACTTTAAATCTTTTTCGTATGACATTTTTGTTTACCTCCAAAGTATCTTTGGGTTCCTTGGTTTTGGCATCAATAAGCTCAATCATAACTGGTCTTCCATCTTTTGCTGGAGTGATCTGTAAAAAAGAGTTAAAAACAAATGAAAATCCACAAACACACTGTACCAGAAAGAAATTACATATAAATAGGCTTACTTTGCTTGCAAAGACTCAAGTATGATAGTCAATCTTTCTTGGATTTATCAGAACCCTTTGAGCCAGCTTACTGATCTTAGGATCAAATCCAGGCATAAGCTGATCCAGAGCCTCAATAAATGTTACCTGCACAAAATTTTGTACCAACTTTGGTCACTTCATGAAGTTCTACTGCATCACAATCCTTAAGCAACCAAAACATAGCAATAGCTCATTTTCATTTTGATGACCAATAGAGCCTTCTGTTACTATTTAGAGAAGTAAAAACTTACTGAAAGAAAACAAACACCACTTGCTCATACTAATGCAAATAAATATTACAAACTAACATGTTACCTCACTTCCAAGGGCCGTGTAAACATCACTGAACTCAAGACCGATATAACCACTTCCTACTATCGCAATCCATTCAGGAACAGACTCCAATTTCAATGCATGGTCACTTGTGATAACAGTCTTTCCTACAGCAAAAATATGCGGAATTTTAAGGGACTTGCTATACTATCAGTAACAGAGACGAGACGTTTTGTGCATTGAGGATCCTCCCTAGAATATATATGTTTAAAACAAAACACATACCATCAACTTCAATTCCTTTCGGGACAAAGGGTACAGATCCAGTTGCAATGATTATATCTTTGGCGGTGATAATATTGTCAGGGAAACCGACCTTTCCATATTTAACCTTTTGTGGCCCCTGAACAAGTACACAAAAGACTAAAGAGTATTAGGATCGCTAACTAAGAAACAGCATATCATGTGAAGTTATCAACCAAAGACAATAACATACTGACCAGAACAGAGCCAAAGCCTGTCAATATGTCAACACCAAGTGCCTTCATTGAATTGGTGAGGTTATTTCTAATCTTGGTAGCCAGGTTACTCGCATGGTCAGCCACACCCTGACGGTCATAACCGGCAGCTGAAACCTGTTCCAGAGGAGACAAAGGAAGCAAGGTAGAATCAGAGCCAAGGCGATACTACTTTCCTCACAATCAATCGAAATCAAACGTTTAAACATCTACAATCATTTCAAGGACTACTAGTTGCATTCCAAGAAGAAATCAAAAGAGTCAACCCTAGCTTCTGAATCTAAATATGTCTAAAGAGCGTGAGACTATCAGTTACAAGCCAGCATCATTTAGTATTACCTGCAAACCAAATGCCTTCATGTGATGTTCGTTCTGGAGCTCCCGCATCCTACCACTAACAGCAAGGAGAGCTTTGGAAGGCACGCACCCTCTGTTGACGCAAGTCCCTCCCACAACATCTCCTTCAATGATTGCAGTTTTGAGTCCCTAAAGAACGTTATCGAAACAAAAATTAACCCTGTTGAATTACAGTAATAGATACAAGATAGTACGATGTTGCTATGAATCATTGTACCCTTTTTATATAAACAAAGCATTTGATCCCAATATAAATCTCGCAATTTAACGGCTCAATCAAGCAAGAGTGTAGAGGAAAAGAAAAATAATCTCACAAATAAGCCATACGACTTAGATGAACCATATATACACATATGTAAGAGCTTCAAGTTCGTATAGCCTAAGAAAAATAATGCTAAGAACGAGTCGATTCGTGTTCTGAGAAGATAAATGGAATCCGTATCAATTTGATTCAGATTATTGGCAAAGCATAGTAACATAATCGAGCTTGTTTATTACAAATTAGAAGCAGGAAGAAAGCAGACCTTCTCAACGGCGTGCAATGCAGCTCCGTGGCCGCCAACTCCAGCTCCGATAATGACCAAATCATAATCGAACGATTTCGACGTAGCTCCATTGCCATTAGCGGAGGAAGAAGAAGAAGCAGCGGCAGAGACTTCGATCCTCCTACTATGAATTTGGAAACGGCATGAGGTCAGCTGCTTCGAAGGGGAGAAACCGAACGCCTCCCGCCGGAGTCCACAGAACCGGAGACTCCTCGGCGTAGAAGGAGCGGCGTTCAATGAACAGAGCGGACGATTCGGTAAAGGAAGTGACGCCTGTGAGAAGGAAAGAGAGAGAGCTGAATGCATTGTTACTTGTTAGAGAGAGAGTGAAAGAGATCTGTAGAAGAAAATGGGAGTGACGGAGATGACAAATACTCACTCCGGAGAGACAGAGACGGGCGGAGGCGGAGATCTCAAAGATGAGACACGTGGCACGTTTCTCGTCTTTAAACCGGAGATTTCAAAAACCCGGTTTATATCTCAAGCCCATTGGGCCTTTTATTTCTCGTCGAATTTAGTATATCAAGCAAGAGCCACGTGGGAAGGAGAGCGGCGAACAGTTCAAACGTAAGACTCCGACACGTGTGGAATAGCAGAACACGTGTCAGGGAAGTGAGAGAGCTCTCTCTGTTCTGTTCCACATTCTTCTCCTTACTTGTTGTGAAGAGAGAAAGTATTAACAGAGAGAGAGAGAGAGATAGAGAAGCAAAAAGATAAGCGAAGAGAGAAGAATTGAAAGAAGAAAAGAAGGAAAGATGGAAAAGAGTGGAGGAAGAAAAGTGATGGATGAGATAAGAAGCTTTGAGAAGGCAAGCTTGTTCGATCTTGGCCATCCTCTTCTCAACCGCATCGCCGACTCTTTCGTGAAAGCCGCGGGAGTAAGTTTTTGTTCCATATAAATTGATAAATATGCATAAACATAAGAGTGTATATGTATTAAGATTAGCTTAAAATGGATTTGTGAAGGTTGGAGCTTTACAAGCCGTGTCGAGGGAAGCTTACTTTACGGTTGTTGATGGTAAAAGCTCCGGCGACTCTGTTACTTATTTTCTCGTATTCCAATATATAAGTCAAATAGAAATGAACTTTTAAAATTGATTATAAATTCAGGGGCAGGGTTTGACTCGAGCAACGTGGGTCCACCGTCGGAGAATACCGGAACCGGAAGCAAGAAACATAGGTTCCCTAATCTCAGAGGTCCGTTTATGTCATGCAATTAAATTTGTATAGTATATGGTTGATGAGATATATATTAATATTACGTTTATGTTGATATATTGTGTTTGTTTTTACATTTTCAGGGGAAAGCAGCAGCAAATCTCTTGAAGCATTGGTGAGTTTAGTTACAAACGAATGCTAATTTTTACTCATTTTTATCTACATCGAATATTTCCCCATTTGTGTAGTACATATTACGAACGTGTATTGTGTGCATTTATGTTGTGTATTGTGTGCATTTATGTTGCAATTGGTGTTTGTAAAGCAAATGCATGCAAGACACAAAGATTTGTCATTAGTTTTTGTGTTAATTAGTTGACTGATGGTTAATGTTGTAATATGGTTTAAAATGGTTGGTCTCTAGGTGAAGAATACAGGAAAAGAATCTCTCCAATGGGGTGAGTTTGTATACATATATTATGTTAAGAGGTTGACAGATTTAACTAAGAGTAAGATGATTAATTAATTTTGGTATGGCAGGGCTAGCTGCCGGATTGTACTCGGGTATTACTTATGGTATGAAGGAGGCTCGTGGAGGAGCTCATGATTGGGTTAGTGAAATGAACATTATTGTCCCATTAGAGACAAATCTTGTTATAACTATATATCATTTTGAATGTAATTTATATATATATATTCTTTAAATAAATTTGTAATCGTATATATATATATATATATATATATATATCTGCAGAGGAACAGCGCGGTGGCTGGAGCATTGACAGGAGCGGCGATGGCTATGACCTCAGAGAGGACAAGCCATGAGCAAGTGGTACAGTCTGCTCTCACCGGAGCAGCCATTTCCACTGCTGCTAATCTCCTTTCCGGCGTTTTCTAGATCATTTCCATTAATTAGAAGTCTTTACTTTGGTTGTTATATGTGTTAGTTATTAGCATAAAACATGTCTGTTTCTTTTCAAAAAGTTTATGTAAGGGTCTATTAAGACTTTTGTTTGAAACTCTGAAGCCAGAGATCACATTTCCTTCCATTAAAATTGTTTTATTTTCTGCGTCGGATTGCTCTAGGAAAAATTCATATCCTTTGGTTTTGATGAAGAAATTCACGTTATCCAATTTGGATAAAATGTGGGTCCCGGGGGCTCTGATGTTTGTTTGGAAGTATTATCTATCTAATAACAAAATGAACGGTTTGTCGGAGATAATTAGGAAGATGAATGATTTATTTGTGTTCATTTACAATTATACAGTATGCAAGTTCTATAACTTGCAAGTTTCTTAAGGAGAGTATCAAGTTTCAACACTACACTAATTCAAAATTCGACGTGTTTGATGCAAGGCAATGTGTCTTGCAAATTAAAAGAAGCTACAAATGTTTGGGTGACACGATCTCTTCACAGACATTTCAATTATTTACTTAAACTTACGCCAACAGTTTTTTTTTTTTTTTTTTCGGGGGTTTAACTTACGCCAAAGTTGATTGGTATTTATGTTGAACCCCACTAAAGAATTAAAGATTTGCAAAACTGAAAGAGAACCAGACGATTTATATATGCGTAGTCTATTGGAACTTCTTAGGTAAAATTCCTTCCGATGAGAGTTTCGCCATTCAAATAAAGTTTGAGCTAGCGATCCTGAAATATTGTTATAGTACAAAGATAATTAGGCGCAATAAAGCATTTGCTAAAGTGAAGTCTAAACTCTAAAGAAAGTGCACAAGTAACAGATTCCAGATGTACAAAAAGAGGAATTGTACGAATTGGACACTAACTTAACTTGAGATAAGAAAGAAAAAAAGGTAAAACAGATCCATTTTTTCGAGTAAAAACTAGAAACAGATAAAAAAGTTATACCACTTCCTTTTGTCGGTCCCTTGATCCAAAACCACTCCTCAAATAAGATATCGAAAATTTGGTGTCAGCATAATTTCCGGTTGAGAAAAATTCATGCATTAATGTCTCCTTTTGGAAATATTTCTGTGTCGTAACGCATTGTATTTGAATCAACACATTTTAAAAATACGCCGCATGACACCTTTGTCTTTTTCTCCTTTTATGTTAACAACGCATAACACCTTCACAAAGTAGAATATGGGTTGTAAAATTTTGCTCTGTTTTTTTCTGCTATAAGTAAAAGTATTTAATTTTAGTCAACATGAATGATGATAATATATGATTTAAAAAAAAATATGGAGAGTGGAGATCACATGGAGGAAGATAATATAAAAACGATTCGCATTAACTTGTTAAAAAAGTATTGAGTGTATAGTCCGGTTATATCCGGTTAATTACTTGTATGAGTTTCTTTTAGCTTATCAAGTATGTTTATAAGCTTCTTTGTACATTTACATTGTGATTAATGAGAAATAACAATTACACATTTAATATGGTATCAGAGAGAAATAACAAACTTTCTCGTTCTTTCTTCCGCTTTCTCATCGTTTCTCGGCACTTTCTCGGCTGAATTTTCTTCGATTGAGCTCGTTTCTCATCGGATTTCCTTCCGATTTCTTCAGATCGATGAGTATCTCACCGATGCGTCTACTCTCCGAGCTCACGATTGGATTTTCTTTGCTGATTCTTTTCTTATCTTCGCCATTTTTCATTTTGCGTCTTTCTCGCCATTTTCTTCTTTTGTTGACCTCTTGATTGCTGCTTTCACTTTCCTTTCGGCACAATCCCTCTCTATTAATGGCTGCTCCGCCTCAATATCTGGATCAATACGAGAATCCATACTTCCTGCACAGCTTCGATCATGCCGGATTGATTCTCGTCTCCGATCGTCTTCAATCTGGTGCTGACTTCCACTCATGGCGTCGCTCTGTTCGGATGGCGTTGAATGTTCGGAATAAACTGGGTTTCATCGATGGAAATGATTCCGAAACCTCTGCAGATCATCGCGATGCCGGCTCTTGGTCACGCTGTAACGACATGGTCGCCACATGGTTATGAATTCGGTTAGTAAGAAAATCGCTCAGAGCTTGTTGTTTATGAGTACTGCTGAATCGATTTGGAAGAATATCCTAGCTAGATTCAAGCAAGATGATGCTCCTCGTGTTTTTGAGATTGAACAACGTTTAGGATGCTTGCAACAAGGCTCTATGGATGTTAGTAGCTTCTATACCGAATTGATGACTCTTTGGAGAAGAGTACAAGAATTATATTGAGCTTCCTGTGTGCACTTGTGGTCGCTGTGAATGTAATGCGGCTGCTTTATGGGAATCGTTGCAACAACGGAGCAGAGTTATGAAGTTCTTGATGGGATTGAATGAAGCATTTGAACCTACTCGTCTCACATCTTGATGATGAAGCCAATTCCTTCGATTGAAGATGTCTTTAATATGGTGGCTCAAGATGAACGCCAGAAATCGATCAAGCCAAGCTCGCGACAGGACAACGTTGTTTTCCAGAACTCTGGCCCTCATGATGATACTCAATCTTTGTCATCTGAGACTCTTGCTGATAATGCTGCGTTTGCTACTCAGTACAACAATGGTTATCGTCCTCGCCAGCGTCCAGTTTGTACCCACTGTGGTCAATTGGGTCATGTTGTTCAGAAGTGCTTCAAGCTTCACGGATATCCTCCGGGTCACAAGTTCCATACAGCTTCTGGTCAACAACAGTCTCAGACGTCTCGTGGTCAACAATCTCAGTTGTGCATTCACAGAACCGTTCTCAGGCTCAAGGTTATCAGAAATCCAACACTGTTGCAAATGTGATTTCTGGTCCTCTCTATATGCCAGCTCCGGCCACGAATGCGATCAATATTGACTTGAGTCAACTCAACACCGATCAATTCCAGACTTTGCTTCAACAGCTCCAAAGTCACGTTAAGCCTCCTGAGTCTCATGTTCCCGTTCAACGCGCGTCTATCACTGAGGGAGGTCATATGGCTGCTGAATCGTCTGCTGGTATCGTCTCTTTTCTATCTCATAACATTCCTTTTCCTTCTTCAAGCCTTCGTTTTGAAAACAATTGCCTCACTTTTCAGCATCAATGCTTATCTTCTCTTTATAATTCTTTACCGAGTGGCTCTTGGATAATTGACAGTGGAGCCACGACTCACGTTTGTTCTGACTTGTCTTTGTTTAGTGAGACCTTTCCGGTGTCTGGTGTTACAGTCTCTCTCCCTAATGGCATTAGAGAATCTATTAGTCACACAGGCACTGTGCATATACATTCATCATTGACATTGCATAATGTTCTGCATGTTCCATCTTTCCGATTTAATCTCATCAGTGTTAGTAGTTTGCTTAAACATGATGATCGTTCTGCTCACTTTTATGCTGATCATTGCATCATTCAGGAGTCTACTCAGGGCTTGATGATTGGTAGAGGAACTCTCATCAACAACTTCTATATTCTTCAAGTCACTGCTAATTCTCCTTCAAATTTCTGTGGATCCTTGCATGATGATGGTCTTCTTTGGCATCAGCGCCTTGGCCATCCATCTTCTGCCAAGTTACAACATCTTTCTGGTATTCTGCATTTG